TTGAAACGAGCGCATCTATAACAAACGAGCGATCAGTTCCACTAACGAGCAAGCTTTCGAGCGAGCTAACGAGTTTCATGGATGGGGCAAATTATGATTTTTTGAATATATTTTTTTCCAAGTTCGATTTTTTCAGCTGGCTCAAATAAATTAATTATCACCGCCGGCATTTGGGGTTGCTGCTGCTTCACTTCGGACTGCTGTTTTGTGTCGAGATGTCTTTTCAGCGCCGTCGTTGAGTAGCCTTTGTAAGAATAGACCGTTTTGCAAAGATAGCAAGTAGCCCTGGTCTTCGCTGCATCGCGGGAGAAAACTTCCAAACGACTGAGCGTAACTTTCACTCAAATGGAGAGGTGACCCAAGCATATCCTGCGACAGGTCAGCAGATGTGGAACAAGACATCAGTAGAGTCCACCAAAGCTGCAACGACAACTGAAACAACTCAAGTGTCGTGCAGACATACAGTCACTGTAACTGCGAGTGATTTTCACTTTGCGCGGGACTGGACTCTCAATCGACCAGGGAGTCGTAAAATATTTTACGACTCCCGGTCGACATGTACAGTCTACTCGCGATAAGTCACGCAGTTTTAAGTCACGCACTCGCGATAAGTCACGCACTTTTTCATCCAGGACATCCATCTCAAGAATTTTTTATTTTTCGGGATTTTGTGGATTTCGTGAATATTTGCGAATGATGTGGTTTTCAATGATGGAGCTTGAATACTGTAAAGGTAAGAATATAATTATTATGTGCATATTGTATGAGAGCCTTCTCCCTCAGGATCACCCACGACAATCCAAGTTTGTCAGTCACAAACTTCTCCCTTCGAAGCAAAATATACTTCACCAGCCGCTCCTCAATTTTCCCGAACTGGGAACTTCTGTTGCGGACTCCCTGTGGACCAGACGGATTAGCATCGGCGAGTTTGCCAGCTTCAGCATCCCTCAGCCAGCCGCGGAACATCGCCTCCGGACACATTGTTCAACTAGTTACTTCGCAAATTTTCGAGCGGAGGTTTTTCCACTCTCACGATAGAGACGAACCAAACGCAGTCGATCAGCCACTGTTCGCTGTTCTTTCGTTTTCTTATGAGAAGGCATCGTCAAGCAAAGGGAAACGAAGTGTTTACGCGACGGAAACAGAAGTGCGTCTTGTCAAATCGCTACCAAAACGGCAAAAGTAACGGAACGTCGTTACTTGTCTTTCTCGATCATGCCTTCATATCGATCATGGCTTCACGCTGTGGTAGATCTACATGTACGTCTCGTGTACAGCAGTGTACAGTCAGTGTAGACTACAGACAGTACTGTGTACCGTGCGCATGCACCTCAGTGCTTGTACGCGTGTTCAGCACACATGTCCATATGCAGAAGAAAAAATGATGCCTGTACATATGCATGACGTGGTGCATAATGTAAGTCGCGCACTCGCGGTAAGTCGCGCATTTTCTATTCCAGGACACTGTGCGTGACTTATCGCGAGTAGACTGTACTGCCATGTGTACGGAGTACGGTGTACGGTGTTCGTTAGTGCTAACGAGCTGGCCGCACAAACGAGCCGAATTTCTGGCGAGCGAGCTAACGAGTACCCGGTGAGATCGTTTCAACACTACTATATTTCATCGTATTTGTATTGTGGCATTTGCATGGAACAAAGCGCACGTCCTTTGCTATGCTTGTTCATCATCATTATCATTTTGCTGAGCTCAATTACAACATCGGTCAAGTAATGAATGACGCCAGGTACTTGGTCACATGATGACGGACCGAACACACATACATAATTACAATAGTACACAACCGGCTAAGTCATTGTTGTAACGCTGCGTTTCATTCATGTAGCAAAGCAAAGGCAATCCACGGATAACTCAGATCAGTGCCTTCCAAACATTGACGATCTCTTTGATACTGTTTAACCCTAGGACGGCCACCATTTTCAGTACTCCTAGAACGGCCAAACGGTGTCATTTGACACCTGCATACATTTCCATGTCTAAGACCTATGATATAGGTTATTATAGTTTTTGTTTTCAGTGCTGGCTATCACTAGCGGCATTTATGATGTACACCACACTTTAGGATTCACCCAGACACTATTGTTGGCTATATGCAACTAAAGTACAATGTACGCGTAACGGCGATTGCGAAGGATGAACTCAATCACTGGCAAAACTTCAATTACTTGCATAGGAATTTCTTATAATCACAGAGTTACAATAACAAGCAATGTGTCAACGTCACTTGGCACATGAGGAGCTGCTTTTCGGGAATATGTGCTTTGGCATAATCGGATTACTAGACCGTCACGGTGAATGACACACAGTAACAAGTACAAACATGGACCGACTATGAGCAACATTTTTTCACTAAGCTGACACATATGCTGCTAGACATGGTTTCAAGATTAGGCTAGTAACGACTGCATTTTAGACTCTTTCAAAGAGGTATACCCTTCTCTTCTCAGTGGCTGGCACTTAGCAACCAGATGCCATGAGTATCTACAAGCTTCTTGACCAGTGCAGGAATGAGCCTTTTCTGGATGTGCATGAACTAGCAAGGGCCTGGGATATTGGGAAGGCGTTGATGCCTGTCACATCTACTCTTTCATGTAACAGCCTTGCAGGGGGACATCTTCTGTAATAGTCTTTGTTGAGGAGATCCACCACATTCGATCGAAACGGTCAAGGACGTATCTCGTCTTTTGCTAGAATGGGACGATGTGGGGCTTCCTACTCTCACCATGTAAAACATATGGCTCTAGGGGGGCTACACTAGGCGGACCATTGATAATTCTTGCTACTTCTACCTTCTACGTCTACCGTCTTTGCATCCTACAATGTAATCTTGAAAAACAAAATGCAATCCGCGCTTATTGGCAAAGAAGTTAGATGGTAGTTCACTTCAATTTACCAGAGTGGTTCATACTGCAACCCATTCTTCTCCAACAGTTTCTTGACCAGTCATGCACTGATGATGAAGTTATCAGTTATCACTTAGCAATCACCTTCTGCAACATCCGGGGCCAATAAAGAGAGAGAAGGCATCCCACCGACTGCCTACCCGTTTAGCCTGAAGCGGGGGAGGAAGAGGTTTGGTTCAAGAGCCTCATTAGCTCGTCAAGTAGTTACAGTATAAAAGATTATCTACACAGCACCATCCTTGCGATAATGCGGTGTACCATCTCCAGATTGCAGACTTGCGATTCCTCTTCCTCAACACTATCCATTTCGGGGTCTCCTGTATCATGTGCATTCGCGGTTGTAGGCGTTTAAATTTTGGTTTGAAATTTGCACCCTCCTGCGGAGCCCACGCTGCTTTGGCAGTGGCGGAGGCTCGCTTGCCGACGTAACCGTCGGAGATCATCATGAACAATGGACTGACTAATTATTCACTTGTCCTGTCTTTATAAATAACATGTTATTGCATAATATGTGCTTGGTTTAGTTTTTGGCCTTTTTCGTGCTTTGGAGTTGATAACATTTTCCTCTCATGAAAAAAAAAAAAAAAAATTTCGGGGTCTCCACCACTCCTGCAACTGTTTCTGACAATTCCTTGTCTGGACTATCCCGCAATCCTCATCCGCTCTCTGGAGGCTTGTAAACCTCAATACATTCTGAATCCACAGGTACTCAGGTGTTGTGACCGTACGATTCGCCCTCATGTTACAGAACAGATCCACCACTGCCAATGGTCACTACACTTGAACAGCCATCAAATGAAGATAAAGTGCGCAATTTCGCTTTCATGGTCATCAGATTCATGCATGGTAATTATGCTACATACATTCTAGTATTTCCTTGGCCGTGAAACCGCGATGGCTCCTCTGGGGCAATTTACAGGAAAATGAAAGGGAATGAGCAGTATCAAGGACATTAGCTGAAGAGCGTTTGTGTAATCTGTGCACTAATATTTACCCGCCCCAAATTCGCGATTCGCGCCCGACCGTTGTATGTTGATCATATATTCCGTCCTGTATTTAGCGATTTTCCTGCCCATGCACCTTTATTTTGTCTGGTTGGCATACGAGCAACTCAATATGGCCGACACCTTCGAAATGTGTTCATATTGTTTCCATCTAGCTGCAATAATGCCTTTTTTAGTGCAGGTGTCAAATGACACTGGTTGGCCGTTCTAGGTATACATACTCGCCATTATGGTACCTCATCATTTACAAATCAAAGGTTTATGGCAGACGAAAGAGGAAGCAAAATTAGGAATAGTCACAAGATTTGACCTTATTCTGATTAACCAGATTTCGGTAATTCCAAAAGTTTGACTCGCGCGGTGTCAAATGACACCGTTGGCTTTTCTAGGGTTAAGGAAGACCATTCTATTCCAAACTGGATATGCGATCAGGGTATAACCAAATCCGTATCAGTCAAGGAGATATGCCTAAAACAGCCATCAACACCCAGCTTGGCCATTTTCAATTTCGAGTAATGGGATTCAAGATTTTAAATACATACTCCTGCCACCTTCCAATCACTGATGGACATTTTGAGGCTATATTTACGTGACTTTGTTGTAGTCTTCTTGAATGATACATACTCATTTTCATGAAGACTTGGAATGAGCACCTCCACCACATTCGTACCAGTCACAGTTTTCGAGTTCACAATGCAGTAGTATCGAGTATGCATTAGCAGTGAATGGGGAGCTGTCTATCCCGTTGCTGAAAGTTCTAATCGTGATTCGGAACTAGGAGCCATTATCAACAATATGTGTGTACCGCAGCATGATACTCTCCTTGACACTTATTGCTGGGATGTTGTTTCCGGCCATCTCTATTTGAGAGTAGTAGTAGTATTCTTTCATTTATAGTGGAGAAAACCAAAACGGGCCAGCCAACTCAGTTGCATGCACTATGTAGGAATCATGCATTCATGTTCAGCCCCAACATGCAATAAGACTCATTTACACTGCACCCCATAGACACCAGCCACAAACACAGACACAGGTTTCCTCGAAGAGGTAATGTAAATTCCTCGAATTGCACACACTGACACACTCATGAGAAACGAAGTTAGTATCGCCTTCTCTTCCGTCGGAGGGTGAGTGGGGTAGCCCTTTCACCCAGTCAAATGGCATGGGGTAATCCCATTGGCTGCACCACACTTTCGCTGGCGATGTCGATCTGGGCTTTACATGCGCTGCAGCAAAGGAAGATTTAAATGAGCCGTCCTACGCCTCACTTCATATAGCATGCAGTTGCCAGGCTCCATAACGTTACGGAGCACAGTTCCCTCACGCCACTTGCCGACAAGTGCTGCTGTGCCAGCTGCTCCGCCAAGATTGGGTGCACGGAAAACCGATGTCAAACTTTGGCGCGTTGGCAGGAGTCCACTGAACCTCATGCGGGTGCGGGTCATTATTGTCGGGGCTGAACAGAACACAGAAGAAACCAACACTGATGCTCTTAGATGGGAAGAATGTGCAGCAACCAGGCAATACAAGGTTTAAAAGGGTTTTTGGAATGGCTGCACTAAGTAGAAATCACACGAAAATAATGTTACTAGATTGACAAGGATGAAGCTTCAATAAATTCTCACCAGTCAGTTTCGCGAGATGAATCCCTGCCACGTGCGGTTCTTGAGACAGAAGAGCTGGTGGCTGTAGGTCTTAAAACAGACCACCTAGCAGGAATACTTGAAGAGGCGGCCGTACTGGAACTGCAGAAAATTTAACCGTACAAAAACAGAGCTATATTTATTGCATTGTATCGGGTTATTGTCCACATAAGTAAGTAGAAATCACGCTGAAATGATGTTACTAGATTGAATAAGATGAAACTTCAATAAATTCTCACCAGTCAGTTTCGCGAGATGAATCTCTGCCATGTGCGATTCTTGAGACAGAAGAGCGGGTGGTTGTCGGTCTTGAAACAGACGACCTAACGGCAATACTTGAAGTTGCGGCCGTACTTGAACTGCAGAAAGTGTAACATTACAAAAAAAGAGCTATATTAATTGCATCTAATTGAGTTATCATTACAGGGTGCGACAGAGCTCTCGGCCATTGAAGAAAATTTTGAGTCACCTCCACCATTACACTTCGCTCTTTAGCCGACTAGACCCTTCTGCACACAACCAGCACCATTGCGAGGACACTTCCGTAGACGATATTGACGAGAGAGCTTGGAAGCTCAGGGCCCTACGCTATGCTTTTATACTTTTTTGCCTAGCTCATCGTACATGTTATAAGAACTGAGGCAAAAGTATTTGCAGAATTTATTGCGGATTGTTATTTCTCTAATAATCATCTTCTTTTGGTTTGCTCCTTCTTTTCTTTTTATCTCCTTATACTGTAAATCAACAAATTTTGGCTGATGAGAAATAGAAACCTCTCTATTAGAGAGGTTAAGATGCACGTTATTGCCGACGTGACGCGCAATTTCACGTCAAATTTGAAAAAAATTACATTTGATTCAACTGTCCACGCCTACCTGCGCTGACTGCCTGCGCTGACTGGTGGCGACGCTACTGGAGAAAACGACTGTGTTTCACCCAGACAGTCACTTGAAAAATACATGAAGAGGGAGCCAGTGACCTTGAGTTACAACCAAAAATTCATCATCATAGTATAAGTATTCACGTTCCACACAGTGAAGCAAGAAGACGCTAACCTAGTACCTAGACACTAACCTAGTATACCAAACGTTTCTTTGCCAGCTCATGAGGATAGTATGAATCTTTGAAACTACATACAATTACCAGGTGAAGAATATGAAGCATCGAAAGGGTTGTTAGTACTCACCTACTGCCATGCGTAGACACCGCACGTCTGATGTCACTTGGTCCGAAGGAGAGCACAACGTCAGGAAGACCAGGACTTGTGGAAGAAGGACTGGGAAACATGACAGCAAAAAGAGAAAAAAACCCAACAACAGACACGATAAACATGGTTGAATTCCAAGACAATGATCAATGGATTACACAGTTTATCAGAACATTCCACTACAAATTGCTCAGTACGTACATGCTAATCTCGTGGACAGCAGCAGGCACTTCACCAATGTCAAATGCTTCAGCCTCATAGCCTTCATAATTCCCATAGCCTTCATGACTGCTGTCGCCCATGTCAAGAGCTGGTTCAGTACTAGGTATGCAGGAAACACAGTAGAGCATCAACAGGCACTTAACAAATCATGCATGTCTGGTGTCACTTGGTGGGCACAACATCACGAAGAAAGGGACTCACGGAAGAAGAACTGAGAACCGTGGCAGCATAAAAATAGCCAAAAAAAAGACACATCTTCAACATATTTGACTCCCAACACAATGCAAGTGACTGATGAATCACACAGATTATCATAACATTCTACTATGAATTGCTCAGCACATACATGATCTGGTGGTGGACAGCGGCAGGTATTCAGGAAATACAGTAGAGCATCAACAAGAAAATGAACACAAGACTATCGTTTGCTTTAAAGTTTAAAAGAAATCTTTTTTCCCTTCTAATGTTGGAAGTTGGGTTTCATGGATTGAGTGAGTACAAGTAAAAAGCTCACCGTTAGGCGCTGCATCTGCCGCTAGGGTTTACCGGGTGTAAGCGGCCGTCGTGAGTTACCTTCGGGAGCGGACACGATAATTTACTTACTTCAAAGTACTTTCAAGTAATGTGCCTTTCGAAACTGCGGAGACCCTTCTCTTTCCATTCCGTCAACCTCATAAATACAATTTTTCAATCATTATGTTCTTACCCAGCATCCTCAGACACGTCCTGGTCACCATTGTCATCCTCAGCATCACTGACATCTATGTGTACTGTGTCGAGGAACTCTCGTTCGTCAGCAGTTAGGTCATTTCGGCTTGCTGCAGCATAAAGTGAAAACTGAAAAGTTAGGGCGCCTGAAGAAAACTTCGAAGGGTGTCTGTCCCTTCAGTGCCTTGCTTGACCATGAGTTGTACGTGTAGTAGAAGAACTCTAACCTGCTAGGCCAGTCCTTGTCGGTTTGCAGATCGGGACGCAAGACGTTAGCGAGAGTCTGGTTGAAGCGTTCAACCCTGCCCTGGCTTTGTCGATGGTAGGGCCGACCATTGATCTTCAGGGATTTCATTTCTTCCATCACCTGAGACAGCATGTGTAGGGTACCAAGACACACAGAATATTGTAATTTTTGGCTGAATGAGCACAGCGTTCATGAATTTACACAGCCATGATATAAATTGCAAATTTCTGAAGCTATCTATTGTACTGCATACAAAATATGTACGAAACAGCCAAATACGAATCAATTGCCAGTAGAGTTCATCCATACACTGTACACTCATACACATAATGTTTGCCAGTTAGGGTTGGTTCACATATCGTATTAACGCTAATTAGCACCATATCCCTCACACACTCATACTCAACCCAAGGCAACAAGGAATTGTTTTGGAGATAGTGTGCTGCTTCGAGTAACTGGTCTTGTAATGCAAAAGCTCGAAGAGCTGGAAAGCAATGCCAGGCCACTGGCAGCAACTGGCTCGCGAGGAGCCGCAATAAACCCACATTGTGCCACAATAGGGTTGCAAGGCAAAGCCAATGCACTTGGCAACAACTGGCTCGTGAAGAGCCGCAACTAGCGAAGCAAGTGACCAGTTAGGAGCGATAGAGCTAAATGTTCCCTAGTACCATTAGCAAGATAAGATGGGAGGAATGGAGGGTGAAAATTTGATGCTGGCACAAGCTAAAAGTCACCACCAATTAGACTAGTCTTTGAAGTGAAGCCAACAGCAAGAAAGAAAGAGAAAGTTCAAAGGAAGCAGTTGTACGACGTCAGGCTAAGCGCGCCCGAATCCATGCGCTGGCAGTGTGAGTGCAGTGAGCAAAAGTTCAAAGGAAGCAGTTTTGTGACGTCAAGCTAAGCGTGCCCAAATCTATGCGCTGGCAGTGTAAGTGCAGTGCGCAATGCACTGATGCAGCGCTGCGCGGCAGCTGCAACCATGGCAGTGTGATCGGTGGATGCTGACACACACTAACTACATTACTGCGACATTAGCACCATATCCCTCACACACTCATACTCAGCCCAAGGCAACAAGGAATTGTTTTGGAGATAGTGTGCTGCTTCGAGTAACTGGTCTTGTAATGCAAAAGCTCGAAGAGCTGGAAAGCAATGCCAGGCCACTGGCAGCAACTGGCTCGCGAGGAGCCGCAATAAACCCACATTGTGCCACAATGGGGTTGCAAGGCAAAGCCAATGCAATTGGCAACAACTGGCTCGTGAAGAGCCGCAACTAGCGAAGCAAGTGACCAGTTAGGAGCGATAGAGCTCCACAAAGCAGCAACACTATCCCCGAACCACCCCCCAGCATTAAGAAATTATCGAGCAGTGACATTCTCCTATGCGAGGACTTCAGGGATGGAACATAAACTGTCCGTGCAAAGAATCAGATAAGGTCACTCACTGAGGCAAGCTGAGCCGAGATCTTGGACTTGGTCTCCATTGGAATTCGCATATAGCGTAGACACACATCGCTCTGCCACCTGCCGGCAGAACGAATCAGCGAATCGGGTATCCCTGCTATGGCGGCGGTAGTAGCTGCGCCAATTCGGAATGAGTGTCCCGAGTAGAGTTCGATGTTTGGCACCGCAGCCTTTTCAAGCAGCAAGCGCACAGTACTGGTGAAAACAGCTCTGGATAACGGCACACCCTTGGCAAGTACATACAGAGGAGTGGATGCGTTTCGACTACCAATCATCGCCAGGTAGCGTAGCATAGCATACACCGGGCAGTAAGGGCGACCGGCCGGTCCAATGACAATGTGGACTCCCTTTCCAAATTGGTCTGTCTTTGATCTCTTTAGCAGGATGGTCATGCTGCCCGACTCAAATCTGATACGCTCTCTTGTAAGGCCGTCTGTAAATTCGGAGCACCTTAGGAAACCAAATAATGCCAACAGCACAGCAGACTTGAAGAGAACTCGGTCATGCTCGCGCAACACGGGGAGGTGATCACAGGCATCGACTAATTTCCTTAGAGTTGGCATAGTTATGGGCAATCTAGGCTTTACTGTCTCGGTCCCATGGCACCGTTGAACACCCTTCAACACTCTCTTGAGAAGCCAGGTCTCGATCAGGGGATCCTCTAGACCCTGTTCAATGTGAGCATTCCGTACAGCTTGCAAATAAACAGATATCGTGCAAGGGCGAACAGAGCGAGCAAGAAAAGCGCAAAAGCAGCTGAGGGTAAGATCAGAAGCTGGGTAAGGTTGCAGATTGCAAAGGGAGCAGTAACTGACAAAACGACGCTCACCTGCAGAGTAGGTGCGTCTGGTATTAGGAGCGATTGCACAGGCAGCGTACTTAGTAACTTCGCTCACAAGACTGCTGGAAGACGAGCACGGTCGTGACTCGGCCGCGCTAACGGAGCATGACGTCGAAATTCCTGCATAAGAAAACGAGAGAGGCAATCTGGAATGACATTCTTGGAGCCAGCAATGTGCACAGCGCTAACATGAAAGTTGAACTCATAGCAAACGAAGAACAGTTCGCGTAGCAACTTCATCACAGCTGGGGCTTTGCACGTGCCCGAACGGATGCAGTCCACTACCGCCGAGTTGTCGCAGTGTACCCGAATCCGGAGCTTAGCCCATTCGTCGCCCCATGTGGCGCAGGCTGCTACGAGGGTAAACAGCTTCTTCCACTCGATAAACTGCAGCATCTGGGCACTGTTCCATGAACCTTGAATCCACTTCCCGTTGTTGTAAGCACCCCAGCCGTGAGTGCCACTTCCATCTGTGTATAGCTGGAGATCTGGTGATGGGGTCCAGTTAGGGTGCAAGAAGAAGGATTTCCCGTTCCACTCACTTAGTAGCCTCATCCACCATAGCAGGTCATCCACGCATTCTTGGGTCAAAGTTATTGAGTAGTGTGGTTGCTGAAACCGTGAGCAGAGGGACCACAGACGACGCATGAAGGTACGGCCTGGAGTGATGACACGGGCAGCAAACGAGAGCTTACCCAATAGGGACTCGAGTTGGTGTTGGGATATCTTCCGGCTGTTGATCGTGCTGGCCAATAGCGATCGGAGGTCGTTGAGCTTGTCCATGGGGAGCCTGGCCTCGAGCCGCTCGCAGTCCAGAATAATGCCGAGGAACGTCAGTGACCTCGCGGGACCTTCCACCTTTGCTGGCGCTAGCGGCACGCCCAAATAGATGAAGGCTCGCAGCAGGATTGCTAGTTGACGCTGGGCGACAGTATGGCCAGTTGTGACGTTTAGGAAGTCGTCCAAGTAGTGGAATAGGTCGGCAATGGAGAAATGGTTCCGGATAATCCACTCTATGGCCGAGGCAACGGAATCGAAAATGGCTGGGCTGGAGCAAAGCCCAAACGGTAGCACCCGCTCGTAATAGTAGTTGCCTTGCCAGAATATGCCGAGTAGTGAGTGATCTTCAGCACGAACTGGGATTTGCCGGAATGCACTTTTGATGTCCAGCTTTGCGAGGTACACTGGCTGAGGTGACGACATAATAGACTCGATTGCATCGTCAATACTGATGTAGTGCAGGGAAAACTGGTCAGCTGGAACTCCGTCGTTCACACTATTACCGGCGGGGCTAGAAAGATGGTGAATCATACGAAGCTTGCCGTTCTTCTTCGGTACCGCGCCGACACCAGAACAGCGCATGGAGGTGAACGGGGCTGCACTAAAAGTACCAGCAGTTTCGCCACGCTGGCAAGAAGCATAAAGCTGGTCAGAAATAAAGGAGGCACAAGCAGCAGAAGATGGCAGATTAACAGACTGGACAGAAACGTCGCGTGAAGTAGTGAAACCTATGCTAAAGCCGTAGCGCAGCCCGTTTAGCACATAGGAAGCAAATTCTTTATCGGGTTGATGACGCAATAGAAGCTCAAAACGAGAGACATGCAAAGGGGTATGTACAGAGGAATTATTAATGTGAGGGGGAACAAAATTATGTACAAGTACACATGCAACAGCTATTGGTTGCTCAGGCTGGGATTGCAATCCCGAACTACTGGGCTGGTCGCTGACCTTTGCTGGAACACTTGCTGCAGGGGTGGTCCTTGCCACAGCGGTTGCAGATGCGGGAGAACCGGCAATTTGACCAGCTACACTTGCCAAGGTTGAAGTTTCGGCAGATGACGGCACCTGCGTTGTTGCGGGTGAGCAGTGAGGATGATGATGTTTGAGCTTGGTGCGCATGTTTGGGACGAAAAGGACACATGTTGCTTGCAGCCGCTGGGTGGACAAGGCTGCACGACTGACATCTATGCCTGGCCTTGCCTGTGATGCACAGCTGCCATGTATTTATGTCAATTGTATCGAAGCGCTTGCCAGGTTGTGAAGCGACAAGCCTTCGAAATTGCTGGTCATACATAAGCCAAGCCTCTGCAAAATACTGCCTGTTGGCCGCCAAAATCATGCACTGGTATGACAGGAGTTCTGCTGTGCGGTGGGGTGCATTGCTGATCACAACATGCATATACAGAGACCATGCTTCTAACCAAGTGGCGATATCGTGCACATGTCTACGAACCGGGCGAGTGGTGTTCACCTCTACGACTTCCAGTGCACCCCCGAATGAACTGGATCTCAGCTCGAACGACTTATTGCTATCAACTGCCCCCAAGATCTCAGGCAACAATTGGTCGAAGTCCACAAACTCACCTCGCAATATCCTATCCTGCGCCGACTTTGGGACGTGCAGATTTCCAGCGCGAGGCGGTGTGGAGCACGCACCACCCATGCCAATATCGGATGACGCAGCTGGTGACGCTGGTGCCGCACTTGGCTGCGACAAAAGAGAGGCTCCAAACTCGTCTGTGATGGCAGAACGAACTTCAGCCGGAATAAGTTCGCGAATACCAGTCGGATCCAAGGTGACCGGGGGATCGGCGAGCACCTCGCATGTATCCACAGTGGGTTCGGCAGAGTCGTTTGCTGAAGGTTGAGTTGGACCCAGGTTTTCTCTCTCCATGTCGTTTGATGCTGGCACAAGCTAAAAGTCACCACCAATTAGACTAGTCTTTGAAGTGAAGCCAACAGCAAGAAAGAAAGAGAAAGTTCAAAGGAAGCAGTTGTACGACGTCAGGCTAAGCGCGCCCGAATCCATGCGCTGGCAGTGTGAGTGCAGTGAGCAAAAGTTCAAAGGAAGCAGTTGTGTGACGTCAAGCTAAGCGTGCCCAAATCTATGCGCTGGCAGTGTGAGTGCAGTGCGCAATGCACTGATGCAGCGCTGCGCGGCAGATGCAAACATGGCAGTGTGATCGGTGGATGCTAACACACACTAACTACATTACTGCGACATATAAGCACGGTCCTTTATTTTTTTCAATGTACCTCCGCCCCGTGCTATTAATGGAGACGTTCCTTTATTGGAGACTCCTCCATTATTATTTCAACCTCATTTTAGAGGCATGTTGCCATGCCAAATTCATGTCAGACACACATATTTCAGGGGCGTTTCGCCGGTACAGATAATGAATGTACACAGTGTGCTTATAATGGAGACAGAGCACATTTTTTTTTTGAATGCCGCCCCAAGGTGTTCTATTATTGGAAACGTGGTATTATTGGAGACTGTGCTTATAATTATTAGAGATAATACGGTAAGCGAAATCGGCGCCGCAAAACATCGGCGGTGAGCCAACTCCCGATCCGTTGCGCATACGGTTCGAGTACCAAATCTACTACAAAGTAGTACAGAATGTGCCCAAATGCTACAACAGGTTTGCCAATTGAAGCATGAATTCTTTGTTTCTTCAGTAGTTCAAGGTCTTTCGGTGATGGACACTCGGTGCTACCTTTTACTGAAGATCATGAAACTACTTCTACACTTTTTATTGCAGTCTAGTAAGCGGTGGTGTTGAAATTATGCGTGCAAACGTTGATGAAGTCACACGAACTTGACTATGTATCCTTCGTATTTTTCATTTATTTCAATTGTATTTGTCTCATAAGTTACACAACAGTCAAGCAGATCATCCGAGAAGGACGGGTTGGTATGCTGACTTAAGTTGCCACCTTGAAACGACTACAAGAATGGCGAACGGACCTCATCTTTAGCTTCAATTTAGGAAAATTTAGGATGAGTCTTGGTTTGAAATTTTGACAAAGTCCAGCTCCCGGCACCGGCGATCACCGGCGCGCACGGTTCACAAACCACTTTTGGTCAAAATTCTACGGGATCGGCGCTGGGACAGATAGCAAGAGTTGGGCACTGTCCAACTTTGCCGGCGGTCCCTTGCGACATTTTACCGTATGATTTTGTTACGACTGCACTGGTTCACATAAGGCCGTTATCACACTGCGTTTGTTTGAGTCGGGTTTGCGTCTGCGTTTGCGTTTGAGACTGGAAAACGCAATACGTGATATCATACTATACTTGTGATTTTCAGCGTTTGCGTCAAACTCTGTGCACGAAGGAAAGTACAAAAATGTGGCCAGGTGGCCGTGGATGTTGAATTTATTTTCCTGAGATCGAGAAGTGTTCTTTTTCTGCTTCTATGACCTTTGTCAGTGGTGCTGGGGGAATGGGAGTCAATGGGAACACTGCCGCCGTTGCGTTGCCTGTGTTGGGGTGGCAGTTCCGTTGTGGGGCACATCGTCCAGCTAGGCTAGCCGCCGCCAGCTAGTCAGCGCAACCTCAGCCACGAACTCGCATCAGCTCCATGCCTCGTGAATCCAAAATCAATCAATCAGTACATGTAGTAGAATTACCCTCGCCGGCCTCAGCAACTACATGGAAATGAAGATTTGAAAAGAATACTTGAGAATCACTTGAAAACAGTCAAAAACAATGCAGGAAGTGTTGCGATAAAGAAAGTCCGATCTGCGTTTACGCGATTCGGTTTTGACCACCCCCCCCCCATCCCCCCCCCCCCCCACACCTGGTTTGCGTCTGCGTCTGCGGCTGTGCGTCTGGAAACCAACGCGCTCGCGATAACGTCACGTGATGGCATTTCCTAGGCGACCGTCAAAAACCGAAGAAAACGCAGACGCAAACGCGACTTTTGAACGCAGTGTGATAAGGGCCTAATAGCAATGCGCCCGGAGAGGTTGCAAGAGGCCCACTCCCGGTGACTCCCGGCGCATACCGGCGATATGTGAACCAAACACAAGTGCTACATTCATGTACGTACATACTTATAGTACGTTCATATTACCTGAACCAAGCTGGCGTTGTTGAACTCCTTGCCATTGTCCGTCTGCAGGATCCTTGGCTAGCCGTATGCATAAATGCATTTCAGAACCACTGCACATACATCCTTTGCAGACTTGGACTTGATGCCTGCACCCATCGCGAACCTAGAGTAGCAGTCCACGATGTTGCAGACATACTCGAAGATACTTCTTCAAGTCCATCTGCCATCGCGAATTTGGATACGTGGCCAAGATGCATCGGCGGACCAACGACGTTTTCGGCAGGGGAACCTGGCATTTACAAGCCGCACACTTCACGTGCTCAAAAAAAGGACCCCGTGTTGGATGACCGCGACGCGTGAGCCATGCTGCGCATGCCAACACGGGCCATAAAGTCATTATATTCGGATCGTGATTTTGTGATCGCCTACAGGGAAAGTCGCGTACTTCTGATTGGAAATTTTTATTTCCATTGCTATCAGGTTCGGCCTCATTTCCTCTGTGCAGCGCTGACGAGTCCACAAAGGACGAAACAGTTCTGTTCGCAGATTGAGTATTTCGCTCCTGCTCTTGTAGCAGTTGAGCACTCTTGCGTGGGGTAGTGCCTTTGCTGTTTGCGTTATGCAGAGCTCACTGACTTGTCAGTTTGAGCACTATGGCAAGGTACGTTCGGACCTGATTGGAAATTTTTATTTCCATTGCTATCAGGTTCGGCCTCATTTCTTCTGTGCTGCGCTGACGAGTCCACAAAGGACGAAATAGTTCTGTCCGCAGATTGAGTATTTCGCTCCTGCTCTTGTTGCAGTTGAGCACTCTTGCGTGGGGTAGTGCCTTTGCTGTTTGCGTTATGCAGAGCTCACTGACTTGTCAGTTTGAGCACTCTGGCAAGGTACGTTCGGACCTGATTGGAAATTTTTATTTCCATTGCTATCAGGTTCGGCCTCATTTCCTCTGTGCTGCGCTGACGAGTCCACAAAGGACGAAGCAGTTCTGTCCGCAGATTGAGTATTTCGCTCCTGCTCTTGTAGCAGTTGAGCACTCTTGCGTGGGGTAGTGCCTTTGCTGTTTGCGTTATGCAGAGCTCACTGACTTGTCAGTTTGAGCACTCTGGCAAGGTACGTTCGGACCTGATTGGAAATTTTTATTTCCATTGCTATCAGGTTCGGCCTCATTTCCTCTGTGCTGCGCTGACGAGTCCACAAAGGAGGAATCAGTTCTGTCCGCAGATTGAGTATTTCGCTCCTGCTCTTGTAGCAGTTGAGCACTCTTGCGTGGGGTAGTGCCTTTGCTGTTTGCGTTATGCAGAGCTCACTGACTTGTCAGTTTGAGCACTCTGGCAAGGTACGTTCGGACCTGATTGGAAATTTCTATTTCCATTGCTATCAGGTTCGGCCTCATTTCCTCTGTGCTGCGCTGACGAGTCCACAAAGGACGAAACAGTTCTGTCCGCAGATTGAGTATTTCGCTCCTGCTCTTGTAGCAGTTGAGCACACTTTCGTGGGGTAGTGCCTTTGCTGTTTGCGTTATGCAGAGCTCACTGACTTGTCAGTTTGAGCACTCTGGCAAGGTACGTTCGGACCTGATTGGAAATTTTTATTTCCATTGCTATCAGGTTCGGCCTCATTTCCTCTGTGCTGCGCTGACGAGTCAACAAAGGACGAAACAGTTCTGTCCGCAGATTGAGTATATATATACAGCTTGCTGTCTACAGCATTGGGTATATATTATATATGTAAAAAGGCGACGTGGAGACAATAATCTTAATAATGCAATGAATTATAACTAAATGCACACTCACATCACAACCATGGGGACGAATAGTGTATTCCAGAACGTTTTCTTGTCACAATTATCAATGGAATTCGTGACTAAAGAGAATGATGAAACTACAATAGGATTTATACACTTGGAGTGTTATTTTCTCCCTATGCAAGTCGCAACTCCTGTTTTGAGTTGTTTTTCTTCTCTCTTTTTCTTTCCCTACTAGTTGCTGTTACACTCACTGATACTTATGCACAGCTATACAGCATTCCCTCACTAGTGGGACCATTGTTATTAGGCTAGGGCCTGTTTTGGACTTCCCACTCTAAATAAAGTATACAAACTAACAAACAAACAGCGAGGATACAAGCATAGTAAGAAAAATATCACAAACCTAGTAACAATTTGCACAGGTAATAAACAAAAGGTGAGGTGAGAAATGATAGGAAATTCAGCAAGTGCAGTGTGACAATGGACATGCATGTGCAAGTGTGTGTGATTGCGAATTTACTGGAGTAGCGTGTCAATGAGTCACCTCATTTACTACTTTGAATGCCGACAATGTGGTAGTCGGTTTGTTGGTAGGACCCTTCAACATCTGTCCGAACGTATCAAACAACACGTGCCGCTCTCACTATTGTCACAGGCGGCTAGGTCCTCCCGACCAAAGCGTGGCCGACCGCGTAAGCACCCGACTCCACTGTCCGTTCCGGCAGAGGCTTCTGCTCCACAAACGGTGTCTCGGAAAAACCAACACAGCACGCAGAAATCGAGAACAAACATTAATGTAAACGACAACGAACACTGTGTCTTATCTTCATTATCAGCGAGTACCGGTACGCCGGACGCAGACAAACGCAACTCACCAAAGCTGAGAAGGAGCAAACGGCCGGCGGCAGCTCGGTTTGCAGAGGTGACTGAAAAGATGCATCGAAACCCTCCGGCTATGGATGATGCAAGCTGAAGAGTTGACGACTGTCAAGTGTTTGGCAATTGCAAGGGAAGACCGGTCAGGAAGAGAACGCGACGGCAGCTGGAGGAGGAGTGTGGAAGCGACGTGTGCAGTGACGATGA